GACAATTTAGAACAGTAGGTAGAGAAGAGATACACTTATGTATTTGCTTATTATCCAGTCAGTACAGAAAGATTCTTTATAGTATCTAGACACCATTGCTATCTCCTATGCTTCTGGATCCATCTCTCATTTTTTTTTTTTTATTGTCAAATGCATCATTCCTGGAAAGTTTCATATCCTGTCACAAGAAACCAGAAGTAGTGCTGTGATTTTTCAAACTGCTGTGGCTCTTTGGAACCTGTTGTATAGAAACAGTGTAGGTGTTGTCTCCTCAGTTCTCCAGGGTCATTTGTTTCAGCTGGCACCATCATTACTCGAGTTAAGAGGTTGTCCTTCCTGATGCCTGTGCATACTGGCTTCCACTGACTCTCCCAGGATGTGACTGCTTTGTTGATGGTCACAAATGCAAGTGTCACCCAGACTGTGCAGGCAAAGTGTGAGCTGAAATGAGTTTCCTGGTCATGGGAAATTTAATAATGTAAACATAGAACAGCACATCTTCCAGCGGTGTCTTCTTTTGGACTCTCTCAGCCCCACAGCCTGGGTCTAAGGCAGGACTGCTTTAAAGCTTGATTAGGTGATTAGATCACCTGGCACATACTCAGTAGCCATGAATTCCTTCATTCTTTTCATACCACCCAGAAAGAGGATGTGTTTTTATTTTTAAAGAAATGAAGTGTGGAAACAAAACTAAGTTGGATCAGTCACAGCAGGCCCTGGTGAGAGCCTCTGTGAGTCTTGTCCATGCAGAGTAGGCTAATGTGCTGGGAGAGCTTCCTATAGAGCATCCTGGAAGCCAGTATTACAATATTACACGTATTACATTACTTTTCTTACAGAAAGGAGTGTTAAGGCCCAAAAAGGAGAGAAACTGCAGTAATGTCAGCTCTAGGAACCCAGACCAAGCAGGAAAGTGGTCTGGGGTGATGGAGGTGTTGCACTGCCCATGGCAAGAGCAGAAATACAGGGCCTCCAAGACTGAGAAATTCCACAAATTCCGTATGGCTCAGAGCAAGCAGTTCCTCTTCTGAACTGAGAGAAGACATTTAAATCACTTACAATGATTTAAATACGGGATGACCCAAAATTGCATATTTTTTATTTTTATAAGATATAATAGGAAATATAAAAACAACAAGTACGTGTATATCTCAGGGAAACAAGAATTGACTGGATGAAATGACACCTGCTGGAGCAAAGCTGGGGATAGTCGGTGTGTAAACCAACAGCTGCCCAAGTGATGCTCCAAGTAGACCATTCCGTGGTTAACAGTGCTTCCGACTTTATTATAGGTGACCGGACTTGGGCAGAAGCTGTAGAGAAACTCATATCTACCCTGGAGGCTGCAGAGAATCGAGCCAGTGATGGCCAAGTGAAGTGGGTTGGCACGCTCCAGCTGTGGCCCGGAGAAGACACTGATCCACAGAGTTAGACTGACAAGGATTAGAGGAGAGCAGTTAGAGGAGAAAGAAACTGTCCTTAGGGAGAAACATTTCCATTTTGGACCTTGACAAAGGCTATTACAATACTTTTCTTACAGAAAGGCTATTTCAGAAAAAAATTAAAAGAAATGTTTAATGACAGAATAAGATGACTCATGCCAAGCAAAGGTGCTCTGTTATCTCTCAAGCCGTGTCATCATCCCAAAACAACTCCAGTAACTGGAGAAGGGCCTCCTCGTCAGGAAGGGTAGAGGATGGGACCGAAGCAGTGGCAGTGAGAGCTGTGTGCTGAGGGCCTCAACTGCACTTTTCCGCAGGTCCTGCCAAGCGAGTAACATTGGCTGCCTCTGATGGAGTTACTATGTGGTCTGTCAGGCAGCGTGCTAGGTGTTTAAACACGTGGTCCTCTTTTCTGGCTAGTTCCTTGAATGTAGCAGCACTAAGTAAGTTAACACGTAGGTGGTCCCTGTGTCCTTAAGGTGCGCCCTTCCCTTGGCAGCTGGGACTCAAGCAGGATATTACACGGTTTCTTGCCCAACTACCCCTTGTAATCAAATCCGCATTTGAGCCAGGTTCTCAGAGCTTCTCCACCTGGCTGCCCCTCTCTGCTTCCTCCTCTTTCCTATGGCATTCATACGGTGCTTCACAGAATGGCCAGCTTTCTCGTCACATTGTCACCAGATCCTGGGAATCACATGATTTCCATTGCAGCTTTTCAATGCCCTGTTAGAGGTTCGGATTCCATATTTGCCCACACTCTTTCAGTTTACAGCCCATTGCTTGGCCTAAGTTCACTCCTTCAAATGAAGGAGGGGGTGGTGGGGAGCGGAAGTCATGTTGATTCCAGGTTCCACTCCGGCTGTCTGGATTTCCTCTTCAGCGTGTGGTTTATTCTTCACCCCAGGGGCTCGATGACCAGTTTGTAGCACAATGGGCGCTCTTACTGGTTGAAATGCTAAGTCTCCCACAGTGAAAGGCCAGCTGCAGAGAAGAAGAACAAGGGCTAAATGATTTGATCAGACATCTGTGGGGGCCTCCTGGCATTTGAGTATGAGTGCCTTAGAGAAACTAACTATTCTGGCCTGAGGGATTTGGTGACCATTAATCTTGGTGGTTTTGACCGCTGACTGCCCCAGAGGTCCCAGCCGGCTGTATGAGTCAGAATCCGCAACACTCCCTCTATTCTTCTCTCGCTGGGACAGCCAAGGAGGCCATTTCTAAGGCATTTTAATTTGGTAATAATTGACATGGCCCACTGTACCCAGAGTTGCTTTCTAAATGAGGAGCTGATCTAGCACTCATCATCCTTGGTATTTGACTACCTTGCCCTGCCATGGTAAGAACTAAATCTGCTGCTGCCCTCCTGGGTCCTGGCTTCAGCTGGCCTGTGCTCTCCTCTTCTTCATCAAGCCTGGAGCCTTGCTCTCTTCCACATCTCTTCTCTAAGCACCTTCCAGGAGCTGAACACATAGACTGTGGAGAAAAAAGTGGTTTGTCTGTTGTGTGTTAAGTTCTGCAACACACCTTGTTAATGAAGGAAGCTACATCAGTCTTCCAATTTCATGAATCTTTGTGGAATTCAGAAAGAATACAGGAACTCAGTACCAGTGCAGACAAGCAGGTGGTGAGGGATTGAGAGACCTGGTATAGAGACTCAAAATGCCACACTGCTTATGAACGTACTTCTTGACTCTCTTCTCTCCCTGTTAGCTAGCCCAGTGACCCCTTCTTTGCTTTCACTGGGCTGTGCTGGTCTCTGATTCCATGTTGGTAGTGTCCTGTCGGTAGTTCCCACTCAGGTGTTAGGGAGAAGCAGGTGCAGATGCAGCACTGACTCTTACCAAGCTGCATGACCTTCATCATTCTGAGCCTTGTGTGTAAACACATTGCACCCACTCATGGTGTGGTGGAGAGGGGCTACTGAAGGCAATCTAGAATGTTTTAGCTTCTTCCTGGTCCAAAAACTTTCAGTAATTTCAATAATTGCACAGAGGTTTATAATTCATTTCCAAAATATAGTTTTTCACATAGGAAAATATTGTTTTTCTTCTGTTAAAATTTTTTGACTTTGTTTTGCCTACCAAAAGTGGGCTTGTCACTCAGCATTTGCATTTGAGGCCTTGAATTTCACTGGTAGGGAAGGCTTAAAATGTAGATTTCTACAAGAAATACCATGTATACAGATAAGCTTGTCTCTATTCAGTGAGCAATTACTTGCTGAACTAGGCCCCCAGGGGTGAATCAGATCTGACAGGCAGTGGCATCATCACTCTGGCTGTCCAGTACAGAGGCATCCCTCCTCCATACCCCACTCTTGGGTCTCTGCAAAGAACAGTGCTGAGGGCAAGCTTGCCATCGAGCCCTGCTCAGTGAGGCAGCTGGGCACCAGAGAGTTGGCAGCTGGCCCAAGTGGCGGGGGGTGGGGGGAGAAGGCTGGGACTCAAAACTGGCGGGCAGCCAGGTTCACTCAGGTGCCCCAGCAGGCCTGGCATTTAACCCCCTGGGGTCGTTGGGCCCATTCAGTTGAAAATGCCCTGGTCTTCTCTGGACTGAACAGGGCAGAATTCTGGTTTAGGGCAGTAACTCCAGCTCCACACTGAACACATGAGGACTTTGAAACCCAACAATGAGGGTGGCATGGCTGTAGTTACATAGCAGCAAAACCAGCCCTAGAACACAATCTCCTAAAAGGTGTTGCTTAGGCCGGGGTGTGACTTCCTGTGCTTGCCTGGTCTGCAGTTTGAAGTGCAGGGAAACGGTCATGATCATTTTATTATTCACAAAGTTACAGGGATCTTCTGTATGCCCCTCTTGGTGCAAGGTACTGGGGGGAGGGTGTTTAAATCAGCTTCTGATCTCAGGCATTTCTGGTATGGTGAGAAACATACAGCAACAGTTTCCCTACAGTATGGCAGTGCAGATGGGGTGAGCCTGTGATGTGGATGGCAGAGAGAGGAACAGCAAGAGCACCAAGAGCCACAGCCTGATCTGAGGATCGTGGAGTTACTCACAGTGAAGTGGACACACACAGTAGGATTCTAAAGGGCCAGTAGGCATAAACAAGGAGGGGAAGAGCAAGGAGTTACTCTAGGCAGAGACAAGAAGCGCATCCTCAACTAAAAGTGAGGGTTACACCACCCATGACACATATTATTGTGTCTACTATATTCGAGTCGCTGTGAATGGTTTCCAGTAGATTGATCGTACTGCTGTAGCAAAGAAACAACATGTAGAGACATACCGGAAAGTTGGAAAGGACAGTGCCTCTGGCAACATCAGAGCCTGAGGAGCTCTGTGCTGAAGCACTTTAAGCACTGCCATCTCAGTCTTGGAGCTGGAGGGGGATCCTGATTTCTGTCCTGTGGAGCTTCAGATTCCATTGAGGAGCCTTGCCCATTGATCTATCTATTCTCTTAGGGATTTGGATTTTTTATCATCGTGCTGATTGTAGGGAATGGAACTTTATTCAAGGTTTTAGCCCCTGCAGCTTTTCATGAATTAATAACCCACTGATTATTCAGTTATTGGCAGTCTGTGACTTTCCTTCTTTGTCCACAGGCCTGCTGAGTTAGCCACCAAGTACGCAAACTTTTCAGAGGGAGCTTGCAAGCCTGGCTACGCTTCAGCCCTGATGACTGCCATCTTCCCCCGGTAAGTCCTCTTATTCCTTCCCCTGACTAGACAGCCTGGTCACAACCCAGGAGTCAGACACCTAGCGGGTGTCTCACAGTGCCTTATGTTTTTCTGAGAAAACGAGATTCTTCTGTAACTTCCTCCTATATTCAGAAATCTACAGATATCTGAAGAGGACTTGGGTTTTGTTGGTTTTACCTAACTCTGCCTTTGCCATACCTTACCCTCCATCCTACCTCAGAGTTGTATGTGGCAATGCAGTTTTGTTTTTTGTTTTTTGGGGTTTTTTTTTTGGCGGAGGGGTAGAATCTACGTGGTCACCCCATGGAAACCAGGTATCCAGAGAAGCGAGGGAAGGCTGCCAAGCATAGATGCTTCTAGTCCTAGTATCAGTGGCCAAGTAAAGCTGTGACCCACTAGCTGGCTTCAGGGAGAGAAATTCAAATAGAGCAGGAATGGAATGATTTCTAAGGCTGACTAAATTTTAGCACATTCCCTCTGTGTTCATTTTACGTTCTGGAGCTTGTGGTCAGTGGTGTCAGGCTTTCTGAAAGAGTCTATGCCTAACCACAGAGTTCCTTCTACTAAGTGCCACCAATAGACCTTGCTTAGTGACCAGCCTTCTTTCTTTTTTGAAGCTTTGGCGTGGAAAAAGGGCTGAACAGATGAGATCATCTTGTCTTATTCGGAATGTCTTGAGACTGTCAGTCATTTTATTCTTTTGGAAAATGATGGGAGCTTCTCATTTCATAGGGGTTGGCAGAAGGGCTACTTAGGACCCTGTGGGAGTATATAGCACTCAGACCATCAGAGTAGTCTTGGTGACTCTGCCCAGTAGGAGAAGGACTTGCCTCCCATCCTTAGAAGGCTGAGGTTAGGGCACACATTGTGCTTGCAAAGGAATGCTGAGAAACAGCTGGCCCCAAGGACATCCAGAATATTTGGTTGCATGCTCCTTTTCTTGTTCAACATGAGCAGTTCCAGTTTAGCTCTTGTAGAAAGCAGGGGCTGTGCTGCCAAGTACCTGCTTTTCAGATAGAGATCTCTGCCTGGGATCTGCCTTCTGAATTTACTCCAAACACTTTGTTTCCTCCAGCTATGTATTGAGTCCCTCTAGATAAAGTGTTACATTCTTCCATGTGTTTTCACTAGCTTGCACCTCTGTCCCCTGAATCTGTGAGTTTTTGTTGACCTGTACATGTTTCTCCTACTTTTTCTAATTAAAAGTAATACAAGCATGTAGAGGGAAAAGCTCAAATAATGCACAGTGGTACTCCATACCCCTTCCCCAGAGACAGTCAGTGTTACCATAAATGGGTACATGTGCATTTATTGTTCTGTACCTTGCTTTTTACTCCTAAAAGTATATGCTAGAGATTATATTAGCAGCATATGTGGCTCCATCTGTCGTCGTCATCATCATCATCATCATCATCACCACCACCACCATCTGGTGCTAGAGATCAAACCCAGGCCTTGTATGTAATTCTGCTTTGAGCTGTATCCCTAGTCCTCTTCATTCTTTTTTTTTTTTGTACCGAGAATGGAACTCAGTACCTTGCGCCTGCCAGGCGGGCATGGCACCACAGCTAATTCCCCGACCCCTCTCATTCATTCTTAAAATGACTGTATAACATATAGTTGTATGAAAATATCATAATTTTATTAAAAGTAAAGTTTATTGAAGTTTACGTACAAAAAAATTACATTTTAGTGTACTTCTGTGAGTTTTGACAAATGCATGCTTTGTGTTACCACAACAATCAATAGCACATTTCCATTATCCTCCAGTTTCCTTTGCTTTTTTGTAGTTAACCCCTCTCCCATTCCTAGCCTCTGGCAACCATTGATCTATTTTCTGTCCCAGAATGTCATATGAGTGGAATCATATGACCCTTTTGAGTTGGCTTCTTTCTTTTAGTGTAATGCATTTGCAATTTATACGAGTTGCATATGTCAGTTAATTGTTCTTTTTCATTGCCGAGTAGTATTCCTTTGTGTGGATGTAACACAGTCTATTTATCTACTCAAAGGTCAAAGAAAAAGATAGGTGAGTTATTTTGGAAAATATAAATAAAGGCACTCTATATATACAGTGGTACCTCAGTTCACGAACTTAATTCTTTCCACAGCTCTGGTCACAGAATTTGTTCCCCAATTCTGGAATTGTGGAAAGAATTAAGTTAATGAATCTAGCTCTCACTGTATTAGTACAGGTTTTTTATACTAATGTACATGTTCATTTTTCTTGAGTAAATACCTAAAGGTGTGTGTTAGCTTTCTGTGTCTGTGAAAGTTATCTGGAATAGACGACTTAAAGGAGGAAAGACTTCTTTTGGCTCACAACTTCCAAAGGTTCTGTCCGTGGTCGCTTGACTCTTGCTTCTGGGCCTAGTGGGGCAGAATGTCATGGCAGGGAGCATGTTGTAGAGTGAAGTGGCTCACCTCATGGCAAACAGGAATCAGAGAGAGAGACTGAGAGGAATGGACTGGGGTCAAGATATAGCCCTGACGGTCATGGCTCTATAACCTACTTCCTTCAATTAGGCCCCACTTCCTACCTTTCCGACACCTCCCCACAATGCCATCAAATTAGGAATTCATCAGGGGATTAACCGTGCTGCACTAGAGATCAAGCCTTCAGCACATGAGCTTTGGGGACATTGCAGATTCAAACCATAACAGACAGAATGGCTAGGTCCTAGGTAAGCTGTGTATCTGACTTTATAAGAAACTACCAAAATGTTTTCCAAAGAGACTGTACTGTTTTGCTTTCTCACTAGCAATGTATGAGAGTTCACTTGGTATGCATCTTTGCTGTCAGCATTTCTTATTTTCAATACCAGGGATTGAACTCAGGGCCTTGTGCTTACAAGGCAGGAGTGGTGCCAATGAGCTATCAGCATTTTTATTTTAGCCATTTTAATAAGCTTATGGTGGTATCTCACTGCAGTTTTTATTTATTTATTTGTTTGTTTATCTTTCTTGGTACTGGGGATTGAACTCAGGACCTTGGGCTTGTAAGGCAGGGATGGTGCCACTGAGTTTGTATGCAGCCACGGCCCCTCACTGCATTTTTAATGTTTTATTTTACTAATGACTGAAAACATCAAGTATTTTTTCATGAGCTTATTTGCCATTCTTTTATCTTTATGGACCTGTCTATTTCAATCTGTTGCTGTTTTTTAGTTGAATTCTAAGAGTTCTTTAAATATTCCAGATAGAGAAGCCCTTTGTTACATACTCATGATATGCAAAAAGAATTTTTTTTCTTTTGTGCTGGGGATTGAACACTGGACCTTGTGCTTGCAAGGCAGGCGACAGCACCACTGAGCTAAATCCTCAGCCCATATGCAAATATTTTCTTGTGTTTCTTGACATTTTATTTTTATATTTTGGTACCGGGGATTTAACTCAGGACTTTGCACTCAGGAGGCAGGCAGCGGCACTACTGAGCTAAATTCCCAGCCCCATTTCTTGACATTTTAAACCATGTATTTCACAGAGCAATTTGTAATATTGATAAAATACAACTGTCAATTTTTTTCTTTTATGGATTGTGCTTTTGATGTTGTCTTAAGAAATATTTCGCTAGTCCAAGGTCAAAAGGTTTTTTTCTTGTTTTCTTCTAATATTTTTATAGGTTTAACTCTGACATTTAAGTCTGTGGACCATTTTTTAATATACTGTAGTAAGATATAAAAGCTGAAGCTCCCTTTTTCATATAGATTGTTGCAGTCAGGGTTTGCAAGGGAATAGATTTAATACAGGACTCATAATTTGTAGTATCATTTTATACTGTTCACCCAAAAAGTCAAATGCAGAGGAGTGTAAGAGATCTATCCACGTGCTAGAGACCTGAAGAATACAGCTAAGGGCGTGGATCCCATGGCAGTGTCCCGCACAAGTCCAGCTAGAGACCTAGACAGAGCCTAAGGCAGTGTCCTCCACAAGTCTAGCAAGAGGCCTAGAGCCCACAGCAGTGTCTCATGCAAGTCCATATCGAGGATCTGCCTTGGTAAGACCCAAAGGCCAGTGGTAGACACTAGAAAGTCTGTGCCAATGGGGTGAAGGATCTGTGCCACCCGGCTGAGAGATCTGCACAGGAGCTAGGATGCAATGCTCAAAGTGAAGACCAAAGTTTTCCTGAACAGCAGCCATCCCTGGATAACAGACAGGACCTGAACTTCTCTCACAATGAGAACAGCTGAGTTTGTATCGGGAAAACCAACCTCGGCCAGCTTCTCCAAGAAAATCAATGGCATAAATCTTCCCCTCTGGTTTTCCTTCTATGCTCTTGGCAGTAATGCTCAGGTGGGTCCTTCATGCCCAGAACCATGCTGATTCAGTTCAGCTGGCATTCCAAGTTGATTATTAATCCACCATACAGATATTCAGTTGTTCCAGAATTATTTGTTAAAGACTACTCTTTCTCCCATTGAATTACTTTGGCAGGTTGGAAAATCAGTTAAACATATATGCGTGGGTATTCTGTTGTTCTGCATCTGTCCATGTACCATTATCATACAGAACATGGACAATCATGTTTTCTGTTACTAAAGACAGTTGTTTTTTTTGTTTTGTTTTGTTTTGGTTTTTTTGGTACTGAGGATTGAACTCGGGTCCTTGTGCTTTCGAGGCAGGTGGTAAAACCACTGAGTTAAATCCTCGGCCTAAGCCCAAATACTACTTTCTTATTTATTTTTTTGGTACCAGGAATCAAACTTGGGTCCTTGCACTTGCAAGGCAGGTGGCGGCACCACTGAGCTAAGACAGTTTTATTTTTTCCTTTCCAATCTGGATGTCTCTCTTTTTTTCCTCCCCACCGGATGTCTCTCATTTTTTTTGTCTTGCCTTACTGCATGTAACTATAGTATAGAAAAAGGAAGTTCCAATGCTCCAATCACATGCTTCATTCTCTGCTAGTCAACTTCTGACCTGAGGATGTCTAGGAGCCCATGAAAGGTTACCTCATTAGAACAAAAAATGCTCCTGTCACTTAGGAAATTGCAAAGGCC